AACCAAAACTTGAATATTTCAAAATAAATCCAAATTATCACTATTATCATTAATGCTATTGTTGTATTTTATCAAAATGTGGGAGTTTTTTGAGGAAGATCTAATCATCAATGAGTCGTTTCCAATTATTAACATGTGCTATTGATGATTTTTATGGTTTTTCTTGAGGGTCTACAATGAATATATTTAATCTATGTCTTGAAAATATTATTATCATTCGATTCAGCTGTATACTTTTTTATGCTTCCGTTTGTAAACGTATTGTTATTCCAATCCGTACAGCATACTAGTACGGTTTAGACCGTACAGGTATAATCGCCAATGACTCCGACACATATTGCAATTTTAGTGATCTTGACACTGTTACTCCTTCTTCATTCTTAGAGAATTGATGATAACGAGTAATTTCTATTTTAGTTTCCCTTCTTTAATATTTTCATTCTCCCGAACACTTCCACTACCTCTAGTGACTCCGATAGAGAAAAAAATTTAAGTTCACCGCTAGAATAAATTCCAGAAATTCTCTTAATTTGAGTGATGAACAATAGTATTAATATTATCTTTTTATAACTTCCTCTTTTCTGATACAATTCTGAAAGATATCAATCGATATGGCAACTGTTTTCACATGACAGTAGGTGTGGATTTTTGGAACAAATCTGGATCTTTATTCTCCAATTCTTCAAAGACATGGTCCTTTATCTTTCTATCGCTAGCAAGAGCAAGATTCGGATCACTGGTCCTAGTGACGGTTGCCTTCTTTGGTGCAACTGGAATTCAGTTCAGTTTTTCAATACTACCTCAAATAGAATTGGTGTGGTTCACTCACCGGGTTCTTTCACTTTCTTCTTTTTCTCTTGTAAAGAAAAAATAGACTAATTAGTAGCTTTTCCTGAAGTTGGAGTTTTCTTACCACCTTTGCCTTTTCCTGAAAAAAAATCAATACACCAACAATACACCAACAACTCTCATTCCATTTCAAAAAGAATATCATGAAAACAACATAAAAAAATAGCAGAATAACTACTCCTGACCGCTCTGGATTGAATGATTCCGTACAGTCTATCTTGTAGATCTTGTGGTTGTAGATCTTTTGCTGGAAAAATCTTCACTTGTTAACTTTATAGTAAATGTTCAAGAGGTAGCAAAAACGTATGTTATTATCTGGAACTTCAACCAGCGTTTCCTAATATGACTCATAACCAGTCCGTGCAAAGCTTATTGTTAAATCATCTGAAAATGGAACTTTTAACGGGTGATGATCAACTGTAATGCCAAACATGTGCCAAACTGACTGACTATTATAAGAAAACAAGTATAGTTGAGGCACCAGCCAACCTAATATTGTTCGGGTATAGCGTTTCCTAATATGACTCATAACCAGTCCGTGCAAAGCTTATTGTTAAATCATTTGAAAATGGAACTTTTAACGGGTGATGATCAACTGTAATGCCAAACATGTGCCAAACTGACTGACTATTATAAGAATACAAGTATAGCTGAGGCACCAGCCAACCTAATAATAACACTGATGATCTTCAAACATGACTCAACCTCTGACGGAAAAAGATGAACACTTCAATCTAGCAGACCACTATTATAATTTTCACGAAGTCATTGTTCACTGTGGTTCTGGCGTTGAATCTGGCCATTATTACGCATTGGTCAAAGACGAAACAGACTGGTTTAAATTTGACGATAGTAGTGTCACGAAGTGTTCTGGCGATGTCTTGAATTTATTGGAGCCTCTGGAGAAACCCTACATTTTGTTTTACGAAAGAGAGGATATTGGCAAATCAAGATGATGGGGTGCTGCAGGGTTTTCCGAATTTTCCTGCAGCTGAAAAAGCAAATACGCCACTAGAATCAATGAAGTCGCCCCGGAGCGCCAATTAATTTTTTGTTGTTTCATAATTTCATAGTTTTTATTACTTTCTTATATGTTTGACATTATAATTCAGATTAATAAATAGTACTCCTGCCTTGGATAATATCACGGTGGACGTTTGTTCATGAGATAAAACTGCTACTAGTTAAAAAATCCTTCTCCCAGACGATGGTTCCTTGAGGTCAGTCCCAGGTACACTATTGTTTTGGTCGGAACTTTCTGACGACAGGTAGTACCCGAGAAACTGGTAGAAACAGGTCTGTAGATGATCAACTCGAAAGATTTCACCAAGGTCTTGCTGGTAATTCATTTCGTGAACCTGAAGACATCAACTTGGTTGGTGAATTGGGCGTCGAGAAGTTTATTGCATTTTTGAACGTATGTATCTGTCCTCGATGTTTTCACGAACCGTAAGAAAGGACGACAATGAGCGTTGTCTTCTTTTAAATGGTTAATGTGTACATAGACACATTCGAAATGAAACAACAGATTGGTTTTCACGAACATGGATCCCATACATGTAAAATGTATTTTTCATTTTTGACACAAATAGTACTATGGTAGTGGATTTTGTGTCTTGTCTCGACAACATTGACCCCCAAATATAAAGTTCACGTATGAAATTGAAAATACCGAAGTGCTACCGTTCCTAACTAAATGTTCTGGTTGAAAGAAAAACCTACAAGGGTTCGATGTTACTCGATGTTACTCCCCATCATTGCCTATGAAAAAAAGCGGGAGCACACTTTTTTATCTATAGACTGGTCACATTCCCCTTGGGCAGAGAAAGATATAATGTCAAAAAAGAATTATCAGGGAATTAACATTTAGAGAGTATCTTCGTAACTCCTTGAAAAACAATATAGTTTTTTGAGGACAAAACAGAAGCACTACAGAAAAATTCGCGATTTCAGAGTGGTGCCTGTGCGAATGTAGCGATTCACATTGGATTTAAATCGCTGGAGATCAAATCTATTTGGAAAAACGTTCTCAGGATGTGTATTCCACATAAACGCAGTTCTCTAGATGAAAGATTTCTTAAACAGTGAAGTCCGAGGTTTAATGAGTTGATCCTCAAAACGATGAGCACCAACAGTCCGTCGAGTATTTCTGATATGTGCCGCTCTCGGTGGAATCAAATGTGCCAAATCATTTGAACACTTCCTGTGAAAGTATCTATAGAAGAGACTCAAATCTCCAACCCTTCTTAGTCGACAACTAACTGCACATCTTCCAGTAGGGGATGGAGATCCCATGGAGAATAATTAAAAGGCAATGAGTAAAATATAATTGCAACTAGTAGATAAACTAACGACTGATCATTGAGAGATTATTGACTGCATAGTCGATAGAAATTATTTTGAAACGTAGCAGAACATTTATTGCAATATTGTTAATAACTTGCAACTATATTTTTTTTGTACCTTGGGAGCTGTCTGACTTGTCCATTCAGTCCCAGTCTCCAGAAAACACTGCAACCTCTTGGGCTTATTGCGTTTATTCTCCCATCTTCTCATGACACCCATTCCATCAGTCACGTTCCCTGTACTAGTTTGTATAGGTTCCGTGTTGGATGTTCGTCATATTCTTCTGGGGGTGATTTTGTACGTCCATATATTGCCTGCCTCCTGTGATTCAGTACCTCACATTCGCATAAGATGTGTGTTTCTATCCCTTCGTTGCATAATCTGCAGCTGAGGTCTCCGTTGTACTGCCTCATATTATTCAGGTGTCCTCTAAGCGGACAATGAACGGTTAGTAACCCTGTAATTATTCTGAACCGATTCCTACTATATTGAATTTATTTGTTCTTCGGTTCTTTTCTCGGACGGTTCCCTAATGAAGGTTTTACTGTGTTTGTTGCCAGGTACTTTTGTCCAGTACTCTGTGTGCTTCTTATTGGTCCATGTCCTAATCTGGTTTCGTGCCAATGATTTTGGTACCTCCAGAGCTGGTTGAGGACCTATACGTGAAGTTGATGACCCGCGTCTAGCGCATTCATCAGCTTTATCATTACCTGTGATTCCTGAATGCCCTGGCACCCAGTACAAAGTTAATTTGTTCCTGTTTGCAAGTTCATTCAGTTCTTCATGCCATTCCCAGACCAGTTTTGATGTCATCTTCGTGATATCAAAACTGGTTTGTCAGAGCCCCTAGTTCGCTCTTGCTGTCTGTAAAAATATTGATCCGCTCATTTCTTTGAGGTCTCAATTTAATAAGCTTTGCACACTGCATGCTAGCATACACTTCCTCGTGAAAGATGGATGTGTATAGTCCTAGCGAATAGTTGTAGTTCAGATTTCTATCCTCTCGGTATATTCCAGCTCCCGTTCCATGTTTGGTCTTCGATCCATCTGTATACCAAGTGTTTTTTCCAAACATGTTTTCGGGATGACTAATGGTATTACACTTTTGACGGCTTATGTTTTTGGCTGCGAAGTTTGTGTTAAAGGTGTACTTCGGTGTCATGTGGTCCGTGCACATATTCCACTTGTTCCGAAATTTCTGTTCGGTCCGATCTTTTGTAGTTCGGTGAGTTATTCAGTCTGAATCCCTTGGAGTAGTTCTCATTGCTCTTCTTATTGCTCCCGTCATTCCCAAACATGCAAGTCTTTGCACCTTGCCTAGTTTGTTGATGGCGGTCGCTTGCTTCATGAGCTATTATTCGTANAAGTGAATAAACAAGAAAAAATCATGAAGCTTCAGTATAAAACTATCGCTTGTATGTGATATTTAACTCAAAACTAAAAAGTATAACACTATAGTATACAATGACAAAAAAGTGGTATAAATATTTTGGAGCACATAAGAACATAATCTTGTTGAAAGAAATTACAACTAGTGAATGTATAAATAAAATTGTAAATATTTTCTCCTTTCGAATATTTATAGTAAATGACATATTTAGGGTGAGTGTAGTAGGTGTGTTTGTAATAATTGAGGTGTAGATACATCCTATTCAGGGTGTCATATTTGGGCTTTGTCAGGTATTCTCTTATAGTCTGTTCGTTGTCAGCTTTGCGTGTATGCATGCTATATACAAACGGTTGGTGTTTTAACTGTGATTACTTTTTGAAAGTTTGGTTGACAAAATCATGAAACAGTGTCCTTTCGGAACGCAGAATCCAACTTTTCATAAATTTTTTGTACATAATAGAATTATTTATTTTTTTTATATATTCTGGTAGCATATTATGTAGGCGAGGTCCGAGGTAATCTGAACATCGTTGTCCAATTGCTTTCTGATCTTGGTATCTTGTTTTGTTTGTTCCTGGTACTATAATTGTGATCGACAGATTCATGTTGTATTTTATTGTTTTTCACATTAACTAATAAGGTCATGCAGTAAGCCTGCCTTACGTCAAATACATTGGCCTCTTTAAATAATTTTTCACTGGAGTTTCTAGCTCTTCTTCCAAGGATAATTTTCAGTATCCATTTCTGAATAACATTGAGCATTTCCAAGCGACAGTCATTAACACCTCCTCAGCCGTAAGATATACGTGACTGTACCAGAGCATAGTATAATGTTTTCAAATGATTAATATCTGAAAATTCTTTCAAGTATTTGAATTTAAATAGAAGACCTCTCAGTTTCCCTACTATATTTTTAATTTGAAAATCCCATCTCAGATGTCTGTCTATCACAATGCCTAGGTATTTGATAGAGTTTACTTCTGGAATTTCTGAGTTACCTATTTCCGAATCGTAATGAACCCATATTAGGTAAGTGATTGGAATAAGAAGTAAATGATAAGTACTTTGTTTTCTAAATTCAGAGTTAATTGGTTATACCTAAACCACTTATCTATTTCACTAAAATCAGTTTCAGCTTTTGTTTTTAAATTCACCCAAGTATCAGATTCATATAGTGCAGTGTCATCTGCAAAACTTATTATTTTTTTCTTGGATTCAAGGTGTGAAATACTGTTCATATACATTATAAATAGAAGAGGACCCAGTACTGTTCCTTGAGGTACGCCATATGTAACAGTCATATCAAAGATATAACGCAAAAAATGCTCCTAAAT